AGGAGCATTAAAGTACAGTATGACAAGAAGCTTGTGGAATGAATTAAAGTGGTCTCAGTGAGATTGCTCTTACATCTACATAATCCTCAGGCCGACAGGGATCTCCTCAGTGTGCCCAGTATAGCTCATTAGCAATTAAAGCCTTAAGCACCCTTTCATTTTTGGTTTTCTCCAGCGATGACAGCTAATTCTTTGAAAATTCACTCACATACACAATTTACCAAAGTGGTCTGATTCCTTTTTTTTCTCTATCTTCTCCTTTTCTTTTTGGAGGGTAAGCATATGCAGAGAATAATGCTTTCAACCCTCACGTTCATCTCAATCCCAAGAGCAGGAGGTGGCTTCTCTCTCCCTTCGACTATGACGCCATCTTATGCTCTGCTGAGATGGCCCTGATAAGGCCTTGTGCCTTCATGCACTTGCTGAGACTGATGAGTAGCCCCTTCTTATGGTGGCTACATGATAGGAGCATGATGGAAAGACTCTCCCCAGACTCTTAACATGGTAACATGGACACAATTGGAAACAGACCCAGAGCTAGATAGGCCGAATCCCTGAATTGTGAGCAATTATATTGATGATAATTTTCTGAATGACAACTGAGGTTCCTTTACATTTATTCTGATGTCACAGAGAGGCAGGGACACCATACCTGTAGTGCATTCACAAGTGAGGAATTGTGGGAGAAACATGTAGCCGACTAAGGAACACATTATTCTGTTGTCTTTGAATCTCCAGGGCCTGACATAATATTCTACATGTAGCAGGAACTCAATGAATGCTTTTGCATTGAATGATTGAAGCCCACTTATGTCCGTGCAAAATTTCCTGTGCGCTACTGTCAGGCCTATGACACCAGTCTAAGTGAAATACTTTGGGGACCTAAGGTTTTAGGGATTCTCTCAAACCCCTATTATACTCAAATGCATATTTAAAAAATTTAAAAGATAGCTAAAACTCTAAGTTAAAAAAAAAAATCAGAAGAGTGTCGTCAAGGAAGGGTAGTGGGTAGGATTGACTGAGAAAGGACACAATGTGACTTTCTGGGGCAGTGGAAAGGTTCTATATCATGATATGGTGCTGATTACTTGGGTGTATTCATTTGTCAAAATTGTGCAACTAAGATTTGTGCATTTCAATGCATGTACATTTCACCTAAAAATGGGGATTCATTGTACTATTCTGTTTATTTCATTTGCTTGAAATTATTCATGGCAAAAAAGTTTAAGTGCCATCTAATGCATCTTATTTCATATTAGGAGGTAAGGCAGGGTCAAGGTTTTTTCCATTTTCATTTAATAAGTAAGGAAGGGGTGGCAGAAAATTACAAGTCGAATATCATCAAATTTAATTTTGGGGTAGACAGGGAGACAGGAAGAATCACTCTTAAACATGGCCCCTTATTATGTACCTATTCAATGCCTTTCCTCAAAAGGTATATATATACATATACACACATACATACACACACATATGTATGCATGAATATGTATATAACAAGTTCCTTTCTCAAAAAAAAAATATCGCCATGCATAACAAGTAGACAAGTAGACTCCTATCCAGGGTGGCTCATCTTCCTGGATCAAGTAAGTAGGTGGTGGGTATGTTCAATTCCACTCACTTCTGCTACACTTTACCGACTTATCTGACCTTAGCCTGTCTCTGCCTCTTTGAAATTCTCCCACACCCTTCATCTGCAGCACACACACAGAACTCATTTCAATCTGAATCCTTGTGCCACTTGTTTTATGTGTAAACTGTGTTTCTCTAGCCTAAAAGTAAGCTCCTTGAGGAGCAGGGTCACGCCTTGTAACTTTTGGTACCCAGCCCCTGTGTCTCCCTTTCTAGAGCCTCCTCAAAGTCTTCGACTATGGAAGGCGTTCAGTGAGTAATGTCATCTGTTCTATTGACTGGTCAAACAAGGCACAGGCGAAGTGGTTAGGAAAAGAACTCATTCAGGCTATGCATGGAATGGTTTACACATATTATCTCATTTTTATCTTTATTTTATCTCATTTAGCCCTCGAAATAGGCATTGTTTAGGCATTGTTTATGTTTTACATATGAGAAAAATGGAGATTTGAAAAGGTTAAGTAATATGTCCAAGGTTATAACTTAAGGAGTAGCAGGCGTGGGGTTTGAGTTTAGTTTTACCCGACTCCAAATCCACGCTCTCACTACTCTACACCCATCACTTCCCCTTCCTCGGGGTAAATGGTCTACATGCTCAACACTGAATTCCAGTAACCTTATCTTCTCATCTCTGCCACTGCTCTCTAGTGGGTGGGGACACCACAGGCACATCATCAGGCAGCATCTCCATGCCAGCATTGCTTTAGCGCATGTCAGAAGTGCAAGAACCCAGTCCTGAGCTTGGAGAAATGACCTCCCAGCTGGTGCTTAGTTCTTAGCTTCCTGATCACACACAATCGGCTTCTTGTTGCCACTGCAGCCCGAGGGTCTGCAATGGTTGTCCAAGGCCTTTGACAGTGAGCTAGGTGACTAGAATCAGCAGGCAGAAGGCCAGTGTCCTAATTTCATCACCTGGGCACAGTTAGAACACAAATACGTGACAGTGTATGGGTGAAGGGTGGTACCTTTTCCAATGAAGCTCTGCCATAATTATAGTAGGAAGACAATCTGTCAATATGCTGAGAGCATGGCCCTGTCCCCAAATTCTGTCCTGTCTCTCATTAGCCATATGGAAGTCTGGCAAACAGAATTCTGGTACATTTACTACTTTATGTGAAACTAACTCCACACCGCCTTTTTTTTTTTTACTTTAAATGTGCAGGTTGTGTTATCAACAACGGTGAATGTGGATGGACACGTGCTGGCTGTTTCCGACAACATGTTTGTTCATAACAACTCGAAGCACGGGCGGCGAGCGAGGAGACTGGACCCGTCAGAAGGTAGGCCGTCTGCGGTCTGCGCTGCGCAGGCAGACGAAGATCTTCACAAACTTCCTCATTTGAATTTCAGATTTATGGTTCTGAGTAGGAGTGGAGAAAGTACACAAGACCATGCCTTAAGTGAAGTTGTAAACACCAACGCCACACACGCCCCGATGCTCAGGCCCCCATGCCTCAGACTCACCCATTCAGTTCTGTGTTTTTCTTTTTGCTAGACTGGTATTTCGGGCAAAGGTAAGCCTATGACATCTTAGCTAAACAGGAACATCGCAGTGCCAGACATGTATGAATAAGTGTCAGATGTGCCCTTAAACAGATTGTGGGCAAAACAAAACAATGTGCAGAATGAAACTGACACTAATTGATTTTTGTTTGCTTGGACAAGAAGAAATCATGGTCTGCTCTGCATAGTTTTCCATGTGCATTAAAGTAATTAGAAATACCAGTAACTGTTAAACTTCAAGTTGTTTGAAAAATTAAAGTATATTAAGGAAAATAACTGACAAACCTAAGTGAAGTCCATCTAAGTTCTTCTCCTTCCTTCCACCCTCCCCAGCTCACTGGTGTAGGAGGCCTTGTACTATAGAATGCGTGGCTAAAACTAGGCAAATATTTTAGTGTGATGTTTGGCTCTGTATTGCCCACCAGCCCCCACCTCGACTCAGCCCTTAAAATGTGTCTTGTATCATTTTAAATAGGAATTAATGAACTGAAAGAAAATGATTGAATCAGTAAAGAATTTGGAGTGGTGTTAATTCTCCCACAGTGGGCACCGAAGGGGAGAAGAAAACCCTCGGGTTCAGAACTAGGAACCCATCCAGTTTCTTTTGACTGATTGGATGTGATTGACGGGCTGTTCAAAGGGGGCTCATGTTTTTGGAGTCCTGCCAAAGTTCTTTTCCACCTTTGACCCTGTCAGCTTTGGAAATGGAGTGATGGATTGACTTTAGTTATGGCCTGAAAACCATATTGGGTTCCTGTTGGGACATAAAGTCCAGAGGCTTCAAACATATGGAAGAAGACGGGAGCGGGGGGGAATCCTTTTGACAAAGTTAGGGAAGCGATTAGAAATTGTCTCCTGATAGAGCTGGAAAAAGCCTTCACCTATGATAGATGTGGCTTTCTCCTTCTCTCTTTAGCACATTAACTGGCCTTATAAATCTTAACATCTTGGGGCAGAGGAGGTGGAGAGAGAAAAGAGATTTACACATTTCCAGTGTGGTCAACTTATAAAAATATGGAGAAAAACAACAGAGTTCTAAAAACACCCTTTGCACAATTAGCTAAGTGTTCCATGTTTTCATATATAGTGGTCAACTCATTAGGCTTTAATGACCTGGTGAAAACCAACAACCAATTAGGGAGTGACGGCAAGTCAGCGAAACTCAACTTGAGCTTCTTGGAATGACCAACAGCTTTCAAGAGCAGCCAGTCCCCAAAACTCCAAACTTCAACCACCGAAGGGCAGACGTGACTCCTTCTTTTCTATCTTCTTAGCTACACCGTGCATCAAAGCCATTAGCCCAAGCGAAGGCTGGACCACAGGAGGAGCCATGGTCATCATCATTGGGGACAACTTCTTTGATGGCCTCCAAGTGGTGTTTGGGACCATGCTTGTATGGAGCGAGGTAGGCCAAGGCAACCGCTTCCCTGATATTCTTTGGCCCAAATGCTGTTTCGTTCTGGGGAAACTAGTAATTCCTAGAGCACTGGCAGCATGAGTTCACGTTATTGAGTACCTGCTTTGAGCAGGGCACTGAAGGCTAAAAGACATGTATGCCATAGTTTACTGCAGGCATGGATCCCTTAACAGGTAAATATTCATCGCAATATTATTTATAATTGTGGAACATTAGAAATAGCCTAGATGTTGAATAGTAGAAGAATGATTAAATAATCATTCCACCTTTAAAAATTGTGTTTTGAAGAAAATCTATGGCTAGGAGAAGAACGCATGTTTGTGCTGTAATGCTAAGTGAAAAAAAATCAGGACAACAGTGTCTATGCATGTAAAATATATTTATATGATACACATTCATAGAAAAGTACTGAAAACACACCGAAGCCTGATAATGGTTGTTTTGGATTATACAATGTTAATATTTTTCTTCATATTCTCTGTAATTTCCAAATTTTCTAAAGTGGAAATGTTCTACTTTCATATTGAGAAAGCCAACAAGACATGTTACAGAAAGATAAATAACGATGCTATGTTGAATATGGAAATTGCCAAATCCATACGTGAGGTCATAGCAGTGTAGGACTTGGGAGGAGGGAGTGACCTTAGGGGTGGGGGCAGGGTGGGCATGGGAGGTGGCTGGGACTTGAGCTGGGCCAGCAGGAGGGAAGAGACCTAGACAGGTTAGCTGAGAGAAAGTTTTGGGACGAGAGAGAGAAACATGTGAGACACAGGGACGGGGTGGTCAGAGCATTTGGGGTGTCGTGAGTACCCCAGTCTGCCCCGGTGGGAGTACTGGTGGAGAGACTCATGCTCTCGGTATCCCCGGTGATAACTTGTGTAATAGGTGTCTCATTTCCCTGCCCATTCACTCCTCAGCTAATAACTCCTCACGCCATCAGAGTGCAGACTCCTCCTCGACACATCCCCGGAGTAGTGGAGGTGACACTGTCTTACAAATCCAAACAGTTCTGCAAAGGAGCTCCAGGGAGGTTCATCTACACAGGTAGGTTTGAAAATTATTCCAAGAGGGACTGGCTCCTAGTTCACCTTTGCACTCGTTCCCAGTCTCACCGCTTCATAATCATTCTAACTTTTCTAGGTCTTTCTGCTACTGTGCAGAAAGTGAACTGGATGATAGGCAGTGAACGAGGAAGTGTAGGCTTGATTTTAAATTTGTATTTGACTCAAGCAATTTCTGTGTGTTCTGGAAGATGGTCATAGCAGCTCATTTCAGGAGGACAGTCTTATAAATTTAACTCTGCTGGAACCATGCTCAAAAAGACTTTTGTCTAAGGAACCATACAAAAATTAGACAAAGTTGCCGGCTATAACTAAATTTTCTTGAAAAGGGTTCAAGAAAGTTGCCCACTAATGCTGCAGAGTGATTCAAATTATCTTAAAATTTTATGAAGTATAAATTATCTATTAGTTCAATATTTGTTGAATATCTGCATTGTATCTACTACATTTTCTAGGCAGAAAGTATAGTGACATATAACACTTAGTTCCTATGTGGAAGTTTAGAACTTTTGGAGGAGGCAGCGGTATGTTGCACAGAACAGCTGGAGAATTAGCATATTCAAAACATTTGGTGTTTCCAATGAATGGAGTAGGAGTTCCAGGAGGAGAGAGTTTAGTGTGGGCTAGAGTGGAGATGAACGCTGAAGACTATTTTTAAGGATGAGAAGGATTTGGCTAGGCAAGGAGAAGGAAGAATGTTCTAACAGTGGGAATTTCATGTGCAAAGGCCCAGAGGGTGAGGTGAGCGGTGCCTGGAAGAGAGGGCTGGCTCCACGGCTATGGCAAAGTTCGGGTAGAACTTAAACCAGAACTCAGCCTAGATGAGCGAGGCACAGGAAACCAAAACACAGCTTAAAAGTTCTGTTTGGTACCTATAGAAGTCAGACTCATAGAGACAGAACGCTGAATGGTGGCTTTTGGGGGTGGGGAGGAGGGAGAATGGGAGCTGTTGTGAGATGGGCACTGAGTTTCAGTTTTGCAAGATGAAATGAGTTCTGGAGATGGGTGGTGAAAGCACTTGACACTATTAAACTATATACTTAGAAATAGTTTAAGATGGTAAGTTTTGATATGTGTATTTTATCACACTTTTAAATAATGGGGGAAAACACTTTGTATGGGAGTTTGGACTTGATTTGGCAAAATGTAAGATGACATTGAGGGTTCCCATGCTAGGGAAACGAGTACTGTTGATATAAAGACTGATTTCGTCGGGGGGAAAACTGAAGCCAGGGAGACCAACTAGGATATTGTACTTTAAGAGAGAAAATAGTGATTGGAGAGAAAAAAAAGATATAAACCAAGAAAGTATATCAAACATTTTATGAATTTTAGTAACATTACTTTATAGTGTGTTCTCTCATTTGTATTCGGCCTCCTGTTCTTATCTACAGGCAGATATCAATTAGGAGTAGATAGAAGAGGGTGGGAAGAGATGGTCTCAGAAGGGAGTATAGGGGACGGAAGAAGTGTAGGTGGCACTTCCGGAGCACCAACGTGCAGGGCTCAGGATGACAAGGAGGAGCCTGCGAAGGAGACCGAGCAGGAGCAGTGGGTGGGATAGGACGGCACCAGGAACATGGGCCGTCCCTGAAGTCAGGTGAGGAAGGGGTCTCACTCCAGGATTCTCTCCATGTATAGCGCTGCAGCACCTCTGTTTTCCCAAATACACCTGCTGTATATGGATGGCCTGGAAGGAGAGAGGTCAGACTAATACCAATCATAGTGCAACCGCTCCTCAACTCTCTTCCGAAGTAGTGAACAATCGTGATACTCAGTGGGGCTGTGGACGTTTGGAGCCTAGTGTTGTGTGTGTGTGTGCGAGCGTGCATGTGTTAACTTCCACTGAAAGCAGAGGTTCTCACCCTTGGCTTCACTTTAAATCACCAATGCCCATGCTGGACCCCAGACCAATTAGATCTGAGTCCTTGAAGGTAGGACCCAGGTATCAGTGTAATCCTTTTATTTGTTGAACAAACATCAGCTCCATATGATTCTCAAGGCACAAAATCAATAATATCAGTATGCCTCTAACAGCTTTCGGGTCTAGAAGAGATAGTCATTTGTAGATTACAATAATTGGTTTGAGTCCCATAAGAGATATAAATGCAAAAAGGCTTGTCAGAGCGCTGAGCAGGGAGTGGCTGAGTTTGGGGAGTCAGTGAAGGCTTTCCAGAGGAGGGGACAACAGAGTGACATTTCAAAAGCGAAGTGGGGACTTCCCAGACAGAATAGAAGAGGCTATGATCCACAGGTCATGGAAACACAGTGCCTGGTGAAAGAGGAGCCCACATCACCATAAAAATAATAGATGTCATGTTACATGTAAATTCAAAGAATCTTAGCGATGATGAGACATTGAAGATCATCCGGTCAAACTCATTTTTTGCTGATGAGAAAATTGGGACCCAGGGAGAAGTGACTTCCTCACAGTTGTCCACTGAACTCAAGGTGGATTCAGAGCAAGGACTCAGGTCTCTGGCCATCCCACCTGGTATCTTTAATTTAGCCATGTAGTGTCGGCAAAGAGCTCTCTTTTCGTAACATGCTGAGCCATTATCGACTTACTCATGAGGAGAGTGTTGGCTGAGCATGCACAGTGTGCTCAGCGCTGTGCCGTGTGCTGGGCTCATTTCAGACAAGTGGGGCCAGAGGGATCCTTCTTTCCTCAACGTTAAGATACAGTGATTTAAGGTGAACCGCT